GCGGGTCGGGAGCCGGGCGCGGCTCCCGCGTCACGCGAACATGGTGAGTTGGAGCCACTGGGAAGAGGAGGGAACGCGGTGAGAGCGGAGCCGCGCGGAGCCGGAGCCGCCGCCGCGGCCCCCGGTACCTTGAGCAAGTCGAAGGTGACGACGCCGTCCTTGTCCCCGTCCAGCGCTTGGAAAAACCCTGCGACAGCGGCACAAGAGGTCTTGGAATCGGAGGGAAATGGCTGGAAAAAGCAGGAAGAATGGGGAAAAGGAGGGAAAAAGGTACTCACGGAACATGGTTTCCAGGCGGACCAAGCAGCAGACGAAGCTGTCGAAGTCGAGGGCCAGGTCGGGCTCGGCGTAGCGGGTGATGATCAACTCGTGGAGCTTCTTGTTCAATTTAAAGCCTGGAGACGGGGGGAAAAAAGATGCGGAAAGGTGGGAAAAAGGTCATGGAGGAGGCGGGAGGTGCCGCTCTGTGTCACGTGATCCGTTAATTGTGTTAATTGGAGGCTACCTGCAGACTCCAGCGCCAGCCGCATCTCGTAGGCGCTCATGCTTCCCGATTTGTCCAGGTCGAACTTGCGGAAAATGGCCTGGAAAGCCAAGGGAGCGCATGAGGACAGGGATTCCCAACCAGGAGAGCGGGAACGGGGAGCCCGGGAGCGCATCCCGGCTCTGCCCCAACCCACCAGGTAATTCCGGATCCGGTTCCAGAGGACGTTGAACTCCACCAGCCCCAGCTTCCCGTTTCCGTCTTTCTGCGGACGGGTTAAGGAAGGCGCCGGATGATCCCTGCGTCCCCGCGCGCATCCCGCTGCTTCCGGAGGGGAAGGATACATCCATGAGGTTGACCATGCTCCGGCACGACTCCACGCTGAACCCTTTGGTCCGGAGGTCTTTATCTGCGGGAGGGCACGAGGAACGAGGCCATTAACGAGCCGCCCACTCCCCTTCCCTAAAAATCCCACTCTGGAACACTGGGAATTTTGCGCCATGCAAAGGGAATTCCGGGCGGGAGAAGCCCGGATGCGCTCACGTTTCGCAATGATTCTGTTGAGGATGGTCTGCAGCTCCTTCACGCTGATCTCCATGTCCTGCAGAACAGAAAATCCCGCTGTTTCCCCCCAAATCCGCCCGCTCCGGTACCATCGGATGGGCCCACGCGG